CCAGAGCCTGGCTGGTCTAAGGAGCGCGTCTTGCGCAAGGGCAGGCAGGGGTGTGCGGGAAAGGGGCTGTCCGCCTGCTCCAGGCTACTCCGCCGCTCCTCGAAGTACTGCAGCCTCTCAAAGATCTTGGAGCCAGCGCGCACCAGCTTGGGGGATGCCCGGACAGAGACACGGCCGGAGGCGTCGCTCATGGGTGTCTGGGGACGGGACTCTTGCGTGCTGCCCTGTGAGTACCCCGAGGACTTGGGCTTCTTGATCTTCTCCTCGTACTCCTCGGGGACGATGTCCTGGTACTCGGCCGGCACCGAGGACTTCTTGCGGGGGGTCACGGGCGTGAAGGAGGGGACGCCAGGGCCACGGGCGGCAGGCTGGGATGTGGTGCCAGCAGGCGGCAGCAGGCACGGGCCAGCACGGGGAGACGGTGAGCGGAGGATGGGTGGCTTGGCGGTCAGTGGCAGGGCAGCAGGGGACACTGGGGGCTCAGCGCCAGGCTTTGGAGACCGCTGTGGGGGTCATCTCTCCGGTAGCCCCCCTGGGGGATGCTGCTGCAAGGGGAGAGACAGAGAAGAGCAGTTCAGAGCCCTCCCTCACTGCCTGGCTGCATCCTTGCTCCCAGCCCACACCACAGTGCCCAATGGGGCACAGCAAGGGGGCAGGTGGCCAGGGCAGCCCCAGGACCGGGGAGCCTCAAGGCACCCCAGCGAGTGAATCTGGCCACCCAGAGTCCACCAGGAGCCGGCTGGGTTGAATGAGAGTCCTGGGCTGCTGTGACACAGTGGTGTCCTCTTGCCCAGGAGTACCCTTGTGGGACAGAGGGGTGATGCTGGGATACCCAGTGAGTCCCCTCCCCAGGGCCGCCATGCAGACAGGACTGGGGGCCAGGGGGTGCCCCAGTTTGCCAGGGTATCCTGGCATGCTGGTACAGCGTGGCACAGGCCAGCTCTTCTGCAAGGCAGAAGGGGTCCCTGAGGCTACAAGCACCCCCTGCGCACATGCTGCAGGCACATCCCCCCGCCCCGCTGCCCCCAGGGAGGGGCTCGGTGTTCGTGGTGCAGAAATCATAAGGTGGAGATGAGGTTCTGGTGGAACAAGCAGCCTCGAACAAAAAAAGGTGCGGGATGGAGGTCGAAGGAGCAGGCCTGCAGGGATGGGGACCGAAGGTGGCAGGAAGGAACAGGGGCTCTGAGCATGTCAGCAGGTCCTGGGGAGGCAGCATGTCCCTGGCCCCTGCTTGCCACCCCCGTGCGGTGGGGACTGCAGGTAGCAGAGCCTTGCCAGCGGGTGTCCCAGGCTGCCACGCACCCCCAGGTCCCCACACCCTGGGCTGTGCAGAGCCCCCTCAGCTGGGTGAGACGAGGGGACACCAGTGGGATGCTGCAGCTCGTGCAGTGGTGCAGGGATTACCCCCAGCCCCAACCTGGCCACAGCAGAAAGGGACCCCACTCCATGTCGTCCCCCCCTCACCCAAGGGCCTGTACCTGCCCCGGCCCAGGTTTTTCCCACCTCCTCACTGGAAACAGGCTGCCTACTGCTCAGAGCCCCCGTTCCTCATCCTCATGGTGAAGGCAAAGAAAGCCCAGGCGGAGGGGAGGAAATGGCTGCAGCGGTTGGAAGGAGATGGCCCCAGTGAGATGTCCCCTCCGCGTGCTTCCCCCGGCTACTTACACATGGAGCGAGAGCGCCCGTCCTCGGTACAGGCTGAAGGCGCTGCCGTAAGGGTCGCTGGCCACTGAAAGGCTATCCTCCGACCCCCAGCTCGTGCCCACCAGATTAGCCCGTGATGCCCGCACCAGCGGCTCCACGCCCAGGTGCCGGACCTCGGCGCCACGTGGGGCCGGCGCGTTTGCTTGCCTTGGGGTTCCCTGCGGCTGCTGCCAGGCAGCGGGGCGGAGGTAGGGTCCCCGTGCAGGGAGGCTGGCATCTGTCTCCTTCTCCACCACGGTCTGCTGGCTGCCTGACCAGCTGGAGCGTTCCTCCGCCTGTGACAGGGCCAGCACAGAGGTCGGCGTCGTGTTCATGGAGGCGTCCAGGAGGGAGGCGGACCCACCTGGACGGAGAGGGGGGA